CGATGATCCATGGTAATGTAGAAAAGCAGCAACAAGGAGGTTATCATAGCGCGGTTTTTCAAACAAGGCCAAATACTCAGCAGACTGTTGGACGTCGTAACAGGGGAAGGCGCATTGAAAGTCTCCGGCCCGATTCAGTAAGTCGAGCACCTCCACCAGACAACGTACATCGTATGGTGTCAGGTGGTCAAAGATGCCCTCAACCATCCATTCAAAGCGTTCCGTGGGATCCAATGGGACCTGTGGTGAGGAAGTGCCCGTAGGGGAGGCACTGGGTGATGTGGGCTCCTTGGTCCTCACTTTTGGTTCCTCAGTCTTCACGGGCTGCGAAGGTGGGGCCTGCTCTACTGGCACTATGAAAAAAAGCATTAAACGGATTTAATAAAGACTGCCTGGTATAAACAACATACAACTGACCTCGGACAAGGAGAACAACATAGAAATTAGTTTTCATGGAGTGCTGCACCAACCCCCATGGGGCCATTCAATGGAAATCCGGAAGTTGTTTTCAGAAACCTGTCTTAAAACTGATTTGTTAGCGCAAACCGTTGTGATTGAACACTTCTCAGTTAAATGTAGCGAAAGATCTGATACCAATGAATTTGCGTGCACGAGTATTGTGTCTGTATCACAATAAGATTGGGATGATCACGGTCATACTTACTTAAATGCTTGTTTCTCGACAGGACACGCGACAATGAACCCTTCCACCTCATACAAGTTCGTTTGCATTAAATTTCATGGAGGTACGTTGGGGTCCTAACTGTAACACGGGCAATGGCCCGAAAATTTACCATCATCCTTATTTTAAGCGTTATCTTTATTCTAATGTCAATGAAATTTAAACCAAAGTCGCTTATATTACAAGCAGTCCTCGTTCACTTGTTCTCGGAGGGAGGGTCGTAGAAGCGTTTCTTACACTTCTGGCATGCACTCTTGTCGATGAGATAAAGGTAAATCCCACAGTGAAGCCACCTACGAATTTATCCTGTTCTCATACGGTACCCCTCACTTTTTATTACCATACCATGTCTATTTTATTGATGTAAGTAAGCATGTTAAAATGTGATGACATTTCTGTATGGGCTTTGTAAAATGCTGGTGTTTGGCTTAGATAACACGCCTAATCATAGAGTTGGGATAGGATTCGAAGATAATGTTTATGTTAAGGTTGTCCGCCACAACTCCATGATACCCAATTCAACCTTGGATTTCTTGTTTTTCAGTCGTTTACACTATCCTAGTTTGCATCTCTATTGCAGAACCGATTTGGAGTAATAAAACGGCATAATGCTAGCAATGCGAGCATTCTTAATGCAGTCCACAGACCCCATCAATTCCCTCGCCCATTGGTCCTGTTGATAAAACGAGCATTATCCGGTGCTCTTTTATCTCAGCGGACTCAAATAATAGGTGCTTACCGTTGAGGACGTTCACGTTGGAGGGATGATACATGAAACAAAAAAGACAAAAAAGTGGTTTTGGGAGGAGGGTGGGGACAGAAGGTTACCAGTTCGTACTACTGCCTTCTGCAGGAGTCGCCTCCGACTGGCCTTCTCCTCCATTTTCCTTTTATGTTCAGCATGCGATTGAATGAGCGCCTCTAGGTCAATTGATTCGGGCCCCACGCCTTCGGACTGGGAACATGCGGGCTCCCCGTTCACACTTGACGTAGGGGTTCCCGTCGCCGTCACTGGCTTCACTGAAACCATTGGTCGAACAACGGGCGGTGTCGTTTTCTTTTGAGCGTCTGATGAATACACTGCTGCAGTCGTACTCTGCGCCGGACTCGTGCTTTTTGCGATAGGAGGCGTTCTATGCTCAGACATTTTGCGATCATTTGTCATCCTGACGAGGTGCTGCATCCGTGAGACGACTTTCCTGGTTGGCGAACGAGGCTCCAGCGTGGGAAAGCCGGCTTCATAGGCACGGAGAATGTAATATTCGTGCTTGTAGCGTTCGTCGTCGCTCAGCGGAGTCGTCATCAGTCGGCGGTCGAGTAGCCAGGGGTGTGAGGGCGCGGTT